TGAGTTTATCAATAGTTTCCTGGTGCTCTTTCACATGCATGTAAGCAATTCTTAGTTCCTCTTGTTTTTCCAGCTCCTATTTATAATTAGAAAAAGGAAAATGATATATTCAGAGTGACAAAATTCAAACTGTGTGTAGAAAGGCAGAGAGAGGGTAAGAGGTAATTATGCCCCTGCCCCCGTTAGACCTCATCCTCTAAGTTTGTCTTAAATGTCAATACATGCTAGATATGTTACTCCACAACTTACCCCCTTTCCTAATAGGATACTTCCAAATCAGCACCATGGCACTACATCCTTCTTTACTGGTGGCCTAGTATTCTATGGTCTGAATGTGCAGCACTTAATTAACCAGTCCCCTGCTAATGGACATTTAGCATTTTCCCTATTTTTTTGTTTGCTTTGCACAATTGTGTTAATGTGTACAGGATGTATAGCTAAGACTGGACTTTTGGGCTCAATGAATAAACTTATTGAAATATTTGAAAGATAGTACCAAATATTCCCCCTCCAAACTTCCTCAAGGTTGGAGCAATTTTACACTCCCACCAATCCTATTGATAGCCCATGGTTCTTTTAGGACACAATGTCATGTTTACTGGATGGGGGAAAGAGGGTAATTCACTCTAATTACAGTTTCTTTCAGGTTTTCCTCGAGCTGGTCTCTCTGTACTTTGAGAGTCTCCTCTACACTCCTAAGATCATCTCTTTCTTTTGTAACAGATCTCATTTCTTCAGGGTTTTTGTGAAGTCTCTGAGTTAACCTCACATTCTCCATTTCTTTATTTTTCAAAGTTGACTTTTGGGCCTCAAACTGGTTCCTGAAGTATTCCATGTCACATATTTTTTCCTGAGTCTCACTGACAGCTTTCATCTTAAGAAGCTGATATTCTTCTTCCTGAAGTTCTTGAATCTGAGAAAAAATAAAACAAGTTAGGACAAAGGCAGAAATTTGTAGGAAAAAGAGGAATTGTTTCTAAATTAAGTCAGTCATCTTTACATTTTATCTAATGTATATACTATTTTCTTCCACAGGGAAATGAGCAACACAATAATCAGATGTCATTTTCCAACTTAACAAAATAAGACCTACCTTTTCTTGTGATTCAGCATCTGAGTTTTCTACATCTCTCTCAATATTTGCTTCTTGGTCTGTCTTCTTTGAAATATTCCTTGTACTAATGGTTTGTTGGTGCTCCTTCAAAAGAACATAAGTAGTTTTTAGTTCCTGTTTGATTTTCAGTCCCTTTCTGATTGGATAAAAATTAATAAAACAACAGTGAATTTAACTACCTTAACATTATTTTTGTAGCTAAAAAAAATTAGAAGAAGGAAACTTACTTCAGCTACAGTTTCTTTGATGTTTTCTTTGAGTTGGTCTCTCTCCATTTGAAGAACTTCCTGCACCCTTTTCAGCTCATCTCTTTCCTTCATTATAATTTTTATTTTGTCTTGACTTTCCTGAAGTTTCTCGGTCAACTTGAGCCTCTCACTTTCTATATTTTGTAATGATGAATCTTTGACTTTGAGTTGCTCCTTTAATTGCTCCAGTTCACTCATTTTTTCCTGAGTCTCAATGATTTCTTTGGTGCTAATAAATTGTTCGTGTTTCTCATGACGCTCTTGGATCTTAAAATAATAAGTTAACAGCCAAAATATACATACACATAAAATGTGTGTGTTTATATATGTGTATGTGTGTATATATATATATAGATCTGTTTTTTTGTTTTGTTTTTTGTTTTTTTAGAGATTTTATTTGACAGAGAGAAAGAGATAGCAAGAGGATGGGGGTGGGGGGAAGGGTAGAGGGAAAGGGAGAAGCAGGCTTCCCGCTGAGCGTGGAGCTTGATCCCAGGACACTGAGATCATGACCTGAGTTGAAGGCAGATGCTTAACCAACTGATCTGTTTTTGTTTTTAAAGGAAAAACACCCAGGATGTTCTGCATAACAATCTAGTATGCAAAATTAGTTTCTGTAGTTCAGTTAGCTAGCTCCCTCAGGTTTTTGTTTTTTTTTTAAAGATTTTATTTATTTTTTTGACACAGAGAGAGACAGGGAGAGAGACAACACAAGCAGGGGGTAGTGGGAGAGGGAGAAGCAGGCTTCCCACCAAGCAGGGAGCCCGATGCGGGGCTCGATCCCAGGACCCTGGGATCATGACCTGAGCCGAAGGCAGACGCTTAACCGACTGAGCCACCCAGGCACCC